TTGGGAGGCTGAGGCAAGAGGATTGCCTGAGACCACAGGTTCAAGACCAGCCTGGGCAACCTGGTGAGACCTCGTCTCTACAATAAATCAAAAAATTAGCCAGGCGTAGTGGTACGTGCTCCTTTAGTTCCAGCTACTTGGAAGGCCGAGGGGGAAGGATCGCCTGAGCCCAGCAGGTCGTGGCTGCGGTGGCCATGAGCATGTCTCAGCACTCCACCAGCCTGGGTGTTAGAGTGAGACTCCGACTCAAGAAAAAAAAAGTACAAACAGTGCAGAAATATTTATCATGGTGTGAAAAGCAGATCTATTTTCCAGTCTTTTTCTATTCATGTACATATGTATTCATTCAGCAAATATTTTTTGAAAACTTAAATATGTCTCAGGCACAGTGTTGAAAAGTTGAGCCAGTGGTTAGAAAGATATTATTTTTCTCTCTCTCTCTGAAAAAAAAAAAATATTTATACATACATGTGTGTATATATATTTTATATATATATATAATGTGTACATATGTGTATACATATGCACACACTCAGCTAGGTTTGTGTATGGTTTTAGAATTTTTGTTTCACCTAAATGAGATCACATAGTATGTATTCTCCAACTTTTTTCAGTTTAACAATGTGTTTTAGAGATTGTTAAACTAAGCGTCTGTGTTATTTACTTTAAGCTCTGCACAGTATGGATGCACCATAGTTTGTTTCCCTGTGGGTAGACATTCTGGTGACTTTTTTTTCCCCTCCCAAATGGATCTCCTTGTACATTATCTTTAATGCTTATACTATTTCTTTAGGTTAGACATCTAGGCCTGGATTGCTGGTCAGAGGAGGAGGCTGTTCCTTTTCTATAGGTTTCTGAAATTAATTCAGTGACATTATTGAGTGCCCTTTAGCAGTGAACTTCTTCTAGACTCTGGTGGTATAGAAATGAAAGATAAGTGGGTTAATGGATGGGCAGAGAGAGAGGCTGGTCAATCTTGCAGTGTGATGACTGCATTTTATAGGGAGGTAAAGAGAGCACTCCTCTGGTTTGTGCAGTGAAGACACTTTCAACCCCCTGCAATGTCCTCACCTAGAGAGAAAAAAATCCTTATCCTTCTGGGTCAAGCTCAAGACCCAGCATGTCCTTGAAACTTTCTGTAACTGCCCTGCCCACATTGACCTCACTACTTTCTGGATTCCTTTGATAACAGCATCGGCCAACATTATTGAGCTTACTGTGTGCTAGGCATTGTATTAAGCACTTTTCATCCCTCTGTGTGTACTCTCTCATTTAATCCTCTCTAAGCCCTCTGATATAGGTATTATATCTTGTTATCAATGTTTAGTCAACAAATATCTTTTTGAATACCAGGCATTTTAGGCACTGGGATCCTGATAAGACCAAAGTCCTGCCCTCAGGAATTTACATCCTAATGGGAGATACAGAAAAAAAAACCTAAACAAATAAATAATGTAGGGGCTAAAGGAAAACTTACCCTTCGCCCTCTGAAGTTTTGCTGAAAAATCAACTGACAAGAGGTAGATTAATAGGAGAGGAGGCACACAGATTTACAACAAAGATCTTATAAAATAAGATCTCAAAGAGGGGCAGATAGTTGCCACTTTTACATCTTGAGGTTACAGAAAGAATGGGGGTTCAAAGCATGGCCCAAAATAAGTTATAGTGGCAAAGTAGGTTATGGGAGGGAGAGAAGAAGAGGCCTGGCTAGGATCGGTGGTCTTTTTATGTAGATGAAATTCCACAGGGAGCAGCCCTCAGAGAAAGTATATGATAAATATTGTTTCCAGACTCTTAGTTACTCCTTCCTAGGTCCAGATGAGAAAGAGAAAACCTTGCAAATCCTGCCCCCCCCCCAGACAGCTTTGTAGAACTACTTCTGTCTGCAGGACCTCTGAACAGCCTTCCCAAAATATCTCAAAGAAGTCTATTTGGGGTGAGATATTTTATTTTCCTTCAACAGTGTGATTTCAGGTACTGGTGAGTGCTCTGAAGAAAAGAAAACAGAATAAAAGCAAAAGGAATGGCATGGGTGGGGAGGAAGATGGTCTTTTAAGTAGATGGTTAGGCAGTAATTTCTCTGGGAAGGTGGGATTTGAGTAGAGACCTGAATGATTCGGATTTCAGGGAAGTATTCTAGTTTGAGGAACCAGAAAGTGTGAGACTCGGAGGCACGAGTATGATAATAAGATAAATATTTGGTCTTTGGCCTAGGTTTCTGATACAGAGCTTCTGAGGCCTTTGAAATTTCCTGAGTGATATTTATAAGAGCATCTTTTTTTATTCATAGCAAGCCCCTTTTTTTTTTCTTTTTGTCTTTTTTTGGGTCTTTTTCTATTCATCTCTAAAACATATTGTTAAACTGAAAAAAGTTGGAGAATACATACTATGTGATCTCATTTAAGTGAAACAAAAATTCTAAAACCATACACAAACCTAGCTGAGTGTGTGCATATGTATACACATATATACATATGTACATGAATAGAAAAAGACAAACCCGGCCACCACAGCCTCAACCTGCTGGGCTCCAGGGATCCTTCCGCCCAGCCTTCCAAGTAGCCAGAACTACAGGAGCACACTACCATGCCCAGCTAATTTTGTTGATTTATTGTAGAGCTGAGGTCTCACCAAGTTGCCTAGGCGGGTCTCGAACCCCTGGGTTCAGGCAATTCATTCACCTCGGCCTCCCAAAGTGCGGGATTACAGGCTGAGCCACCAAGCCTGCAAGCCCCTTTCAACCTTACCTGAGGGCCAGCAAGCCCCTTTCAACCATACCTGAGTTTCTGCTAATGAAGGGCCTCTTGGTGGGCCCCTGGAATAGCTTCGGGATGGGAGCTGCTTGCCAGAGGAACCAACCATGTGATGAGGGGATTCGAACTTTCAGCCCCTGACTGGGAGGGGTGGCTCATGCCTGTAATCCCAGCACTTTTGGAGGCTAAGGCAGGGGGATTGCTTGAGCCCAGGAGTTGAAATCAGCCTGGGGCAACAAAGCAAGATCGCATCTCTATGAAAAACCAACTGATTAGCTGGGCATGGTGGCGTGTGCCTGTAGTTCCAACTACTTGGGGAGGCTGAGGTGGAACAATCGCCTGAGCCCAGGAGGTCTAGGCTTCTGTGCCACTGCACTCCAGCCTGAAGATTCTGACTCAAAAAAAAAAGAACTTTTAGCCCCATCCCCCAATCTCTTGGAAGGTGAGAGGGGCTGGAGATTGAGTTAATCACCTGGCCAGTGATTTAATCAATCATGTGTACTGAATGGAACCTCCTTAAAAACCCTAAATGACAGGTTTGGAGAGCTTCCAGACTGGTGAACACATCGAGGTGCTGGGATGGTGATGCACCTGGAGAGGGCATGGAAGCTCCTTGAAGCCCCTCATCCCTGTACCTTGCCCTGTCTCTTCTATTTAGCTGTTCCTTCTTCGTTGTATCCTTTATCATAAACTGGCAATAGTAAACAAAGTGCTTTTCTGAATTCCATGAGCTTCTCTAGAAAATTATTCAACGTGAGGAGGGGGTTGTGGGAACCTTCTGGCTTCACAGCCATTCAGTCAAAAGTACAGGTGGCCCAGACTTGGTGACTGGTGTCCAGAGCACAGGCAGTCTTGTAGGAATGAGCCCTCACCCTGTGGGGTCTGTACCAACTCCTGGTAGTTAGGGTCAGAATTGAATTGAGTTGTAGAGCACCTCGTTGGTATCTGGAGAGTAGAGAATTGGTTGGTGTTAAAAAAAAAACCCCACACATTTGTGTCATGAGTAGAAATGGCGCAGAAGGGGTGATGTTAGTGTTGGAGGAGCTGTAAGAAAGCCAGGATGGCAGGAGTGGGGTGACAGGTGGAACAGGAAGTCAGAGTTAATCATCTCTTTATAGATAGGGAAACTGAGTCAGAGAAGTTAAGTTACTTGCCAAAGTTAGACCTTA